ACCCAGGAGAGTACCTTCACTGGTTCTGTATATTTTCTCCAACCCAGGAGAGTTCCTTCACTGGTTCTGTATTTTCTCCAACCCAGGAGAGTACCTTCACTGGTTCTGTATTTTCTCCAACCCAGGAATCCAGGACAGTACCTTCACTGGTTCTGTATTTTCTCCAACCCAGGAATCCAGGACAATACCTGGACTGGTTCTGTATTTTCTCCAACCCAGGAATCCAGGACAATACCTGGACTGGTTCTGTATTTTCTCCAACCCAGGAATCCAGGACAATACCTGGACTGGTTCTGTATTTTCTCCAACCCAGGAATCCAGGACAATACCTGGACTGGTTCTGTATTTTCTCCAACCCAGGAATCCAGGACAATACCTGGACTGGTTCTGTATTTTCTCCAACCCAGGAATCCAGGACAATACCTGGACTGGTTCTGTATTTTCTCCAACCCAGGAATCCAGGACAATACCTGGACTGGTTCTGTATTTTCTCCAACCCAGGAATCCAGGACCATACCTGGACTGGTTCTGTATTTTCTCCAACCCAGGAATCCAGGACAATACCTGGACTGGTTCTGTATTTCCTCCTAAGCCGGGTTTCTGAACTGTGACATAATGCCCACATTCCTGGTCGCTCCCACGGAAATTGTGCAAAACGCGCCAGCCTGTGTCGGATTCCTCGCATGTTTCTTGCTGTCTCGGTGGTTGAAGTCGATATTTCTTATTTAATGTTTCATTAACCGTAACAGGTTTCTGATAAACAACCTGCCAACCTTTCTGCTAGGCTGAGCTCGGGGTTAATCACGAGGATTTGGCTTCCAGGTACTTTCCCATCTTCAGATGATGATACAAGAACTCTCTCTGATTTATGTAATATGTATATAATGTACAAAATTACTATGCAGTGTCGTATTTTTTAGTTTTTTGGATATAGAGTGAGCAAGATTACAGCCTCTTTATTGAAGTCTATGTCCCCCTTGGGGAGATTTCCCCTCACTTCCTGTCCTGATAACCGAACAGGAAGTGAGCTGAAGACCCCCACACTTGTGGTCTTTATTGAAAGACTTTCCATCTTGTAGTGACAACTGAAAAATGAGGGATATTTGCTCCTCTTCTGCCCCAGTAATGGTCACTAGGACAAATATGATGGGTTTCCACAGCCCCCGGCCGTAGACATCAGTAAAATCCTGACGGGCTCCATTCTTTCCCCAATCAAAAACTAGGGAAAAGGTTTTCTCTGAAGTTTTTATGTTTATGCCAAATGGCTAAATTCCCAGATGATGAAATTTATATGTGGCAGCTTTCCCCTGCCAAGACGTCTTTTTTTTTTTTTTTTTTCCATTCCAGCCTGGGATTTACAAAACTTGTCA